TGTTCTGTGTCACAGAGAGAGATGACAGACACTCAGCAAGAATGAGTGAAAACATTTATTGTAGGAATATTTAAGGTGCAAAGTGAAAGTGCATTCCTAAGGGAAATGGATATTTCCACAAGGAAGACACTGCCTACTTCTATGTTTTATTTTATATGTTTTATATTTAGGTAAAACTAATTGTAATTAGGACTGAATTCTTTCTATGTTGGATATGACTAAAGGTATGTTATATATACTGTGGGGAAAGTTCCATTTCCATTCTCTGAATGGTAGTCCAGGTCCAATTAACCCTATTCTTTAAGACTGAAATAACTGTTCCCTCTTTTTATTTTTCTGTAACCATTTCCTCTTTATGTTTTGCTATAAATGTTTTCTCCTTTTTGTTTTTCTGATTTTCTATTACCTCTCACTTGTTTTGTCCCTAACATCACAGCCCCTATGATCAGTAATCACAAAGAGCATAGATGACATTTATTTTTCTCTAACATTAAGTTATATATTTTAGCCATTTTTTTTTTTTTTACTTTTAGTTAGTTACATCAGGACAAACATAGCTCTGTCAAAATGTAAATAATTCTGTGAGCTTACAAAAAAGTTTCACATATGCCTTTGCTTCTATCTTATCCGGAACCTGTGGGAAGGAGGCTGTGGATTCTGGTGTTAGCAGTTGATTAATAGGCACAGATTTTCAGTAAACTCCTTATATAGAAGGGGCTTCTTGGTTCACAGTTTGCCTCAAAACAGATCCAGTAAAATGTGCTCTTTTATTGTGTATATAAAATTATATTGCTAGAGAAAATCAAAGCTCTCAACATTGTTTGCTATTAACTATGCTTTCAGTAGTCAATGTGTGGTTAATGCTTCTTTTCTCATTTAGATAATGACATTGCTATCTGTGCAGATTGTTAGGCCATTGTAATGTGGCACTCAGTGTGTTTTTGTTTTCCTTTGATGAGGTTAATTTAACTTATTTTTCAATTCATTTCTTATGAAGGAGTGCAGAATGAATTGTGAAGCAAAGTGGTGCCCATTGAAATGTTTCTTTTAGAGACATGTTACATGCAAACTTGACCTACACATTCATATTAATGGCTGTTAGCCTTTTGTGTTCATTCATATTCATTCATTCATATTTGCATTGTTTCTCTGCCTCTTCCCTATCCTCTTTTCCTCCTCTCTGAACTCCCTGTCTCCCTCAGTCTCTCTTCTCTCTCCCTCTGCCCACCACCTGTGTATCCTCCCAGGTTGTTAGCTGAAAAATTTCTTTCTCACAGTGACCTTTGGCTTGACACTGCTTTGGTTGCTGTCCAGATCTCATCTTTCAACCTTCCCCATCTGTGGGACATAGGGCTGCATTAAAGATTATGTATGTCATAGAGAAGGTTGGGAACCAGAATTTGAAGAGTTTTATATGGCATGCAGTGAAGCAGTTAACTTGCCTGAAAGTGTGTTCAGGCTGTCACAATCAGTTATAGTGGCTGTCTATTTCACAAGCATACTAGCATTTTCCAACTATTTGATTACTCAGAAGATTTATAGTTTCCTGGCCGGGCGCAGTGGCTCACACCTGTAATCCTATGACACTCTGGGAGGCCGAGGACGGGGATTGCTCGAGTCAGAAGTTCGAAACCAGCCTGAGCAAGAGCGAGACCCTGTCTCTACTATAAATGAAAGAAATTAATTGGCCAACTAATATATATAAAAAATTAGCGGGCATTGGCAGCGTATGCCTGTAGTCCCAGCTACTGGGAGGCTGAGGCAGAAGATTGCTTGAGCCCAGGAGTTTGAGGTTGCTGTGAGCTAGGCTGACGCACAGCACTCACTCTAGCCTGGGCAACAAAGTGAGACTCTGTCTCAAAAAAAAAAAAAAGATATTATATATAATAATTATATATTATTATTTTTGGAGACAGGGTCTGTCTCTGTCACCCAGGCAGGAGTTGCAGTGGTGCAATCACAGCTCACTGCAGCCTTGAGTTCCTGAACCCAAGCAATTGTCCTGCCTCAGTCTCCCAAGTAGCTAGACCTACAGGTCTGTGTCACCATGCCCAGCTAATTTTTTCTTTTTCTTTTCTTTTTTTTGTAGAGATGGCGGTAATGCTATGTTGCCCAGGCTGGTTTTGAACTCTTGGCCTCAAGTGATCCTCCTGCCTTGACCTCCCAAAGTGCTGGGATTATAGGTGTGAGCCTCTGCACCCAGTCAAAACCAAATCTTGATAGGCCTCTTGTGCAAAGCTAAGAGGTTTGAATTGTAGACTGAACGCTTCACTGAGCCATTGACAAGTGTTAAGGAGGTGAGAAGTAACATCAGATTTGCATGTTATTATAGAAAGGGCACTCTGTCTGCCCTGTACCCTGACAAAAGCACAACCCTAAATGCTGAGCTTAAACACTAAGGTAGCTCAAATGTCAAACAAAGCAGTGCATCCTTTCTTGAAGAGGCATCTAGTAGTTTATCTTCATTTCTACTACACACAGTGTGCAAGGACAAGGGCTGGGCAGTGTGTGGACTGACAGAGATGGCTAAATCCAGTTTTTACCAATCGAAATTGGGCTTCAAAAGAGAAGCACTGGCACAGAGGGGAAGGACAGTGGATGACTGTTTGTAAGAAGGGACAGAAGAAGTGGTTCAAAAGAGGCTAATGCTCCTAGACCAAGTATCAAATACTGTGGCAGAATCTTTGCTCTCAGGAGTGGGGCCTGGGGGAGAACACACAGGCAGAACTCTGTATGGTAAAATTGCTACCTAAATTCTATGTGTATAAACTAGGTAAACAAACATTATGACACCATTATTCCTGACTTTCAGCTGTCCTTCCTCAGAATCTTTGGCTGCTGATTTTATTTCTGGCAACAATACAAAACCAAAAGACCAAGGGGATTACAAAAAATCATTATGGGCCAGACTATTTCAGGGCCTTTGGGATCTGCATCTTTTTGACTAATGTAAGCAGAGATGTCTGTCTTTTGGAATTGTATCTTTCCTTGGCTTCTGGGGCACTGTGCCCTCTGGATCTCCTCTCTCTCTGTGCCTTTGCTGGCTCCACATCCTCCCTCACAGGGCTCTGTGACACCTGGCTTCAGCTTCTGTCCCTGGGCCAAAGGGACAGATTTGGGAGATTCCCAAATCTCCCACCCTTAGATCGCTCAGCCCACCTTCAGTCTGGTATGCCCGACTGCCTTCAGATCTATTCATTCCAATGTCTCCCCTGGATGCCATCTCAAGCTCAATGTGGCAAAGAGAAACTCACATCCTTTCTTCACACCCCCTCCCTAAAACAGAATTCTTTCCCAACTTGTCTACTGCTCTCCAGCAGCATTGCTTTCCTTGTTCCAACCTTGGAGTTACATAACTAACAGATGCCTCTCAATTGCTCCCAAGTCAGCAGCCAACAAATCCCAGGGCTGCTTTCTCTGCAGTAAGATTCAGCTATCTCCTTTTCCACAGCCATCACCAAGACTAAACACCTAACACACTCTTCTGTATCAGTATCAAGGCCTCCCAATTGGCTTCTTACCTCCACATTTTCTCTACCATGCTGTTCTTACTGCAGAGCCTTGCTTCTGCTAATGTAATGCTACTGTCCTGATTAAAACAACAACATAGAAAGGTTTCTTAAAACATTTCAAGCTTGAATGTAAAATTGTTTATAAACTAGTTCTACTTTACCTGTTTTGTTTTCACACTCTTGAATAATATATTTTATATATTTATAACATACTGTAGCCCCTTTCTGTATGCCAGGCACAGATATATAAATATGAATAGAATATGTTTTTGCCATATAGTCTGTCGAAGAATACAAGTACTTGTGATCGTTTAATTAGGATTCACGCTGTAGTAGAGGCAAATCAAGACATAGTGAAAGTGCTGGGGAGAAAACTGGAAGCAGGAAAAATTTTATAGATGATAAAAATATGCAACAGTGCATTGAAGCATAAGAAAATGTTTGCCAAGTACTTGGTAGTTTGGCCTTTACTGTAAGCAAGGGACGGTCTCTTTTATATCTATGGTACATACTCTCCTCTTACCAGCTTCTATGACTCACTCTAAATTGTGTCCCACCCTCTTCCCAGCCTCTTTAAGGACTCCCCAGGTCATTGCTAATTCAAATTCTGCTTTCTTCCAAGTCCACCTTAAGATTCATTTCCCTCAAGCCCTTCCTGGCTCTGATCTTCTCTTATCTTCTCTTTTCAGTACTGCATGACATTATTTCTTAATCACAATGTTGGCACTACTCTTTAGGACAAAGGCTCTCAAATTTCAATATGTATTTAAATCATCCACACATATGATTTAGTAAGTTTAGCTCACAACCTAGGAATCTGCTTTTTAACAGGAACCCCAAGTGATTCCAGCAGAAAAGGCTCTTGAACCACTTTGAGAAACAAGGGGTTAGACCTCTGCGGCTGGCTTTTATTTCTCTATATGCGCTTTCTTCAGCCCAGCGGAGCATATGTGCGTTGCTCAATGCTCAGCTCCAAGTGCTCAGCTTGGTGCCCATTAGATACTTCAATTATTAATGATGCTCAGAGCGTCAAGAAAAGAGGCTCAGCCACGTGGACAACACCTCCCTCTCCAGCGGAGACTAACTCCTGAGGGGCAAGATCACTCTGAAAGTCACCAGAAGAGCAAGAGGAAATTACATTTTCTGTCCTCTCAAAAATGCGCAGCCATCACCTCAAATAACCCCAGTGTGTCTCAAAAAAATCACGCTTCCAGAGAACGCAGAACGCACCGACGGGTCCTCCGTGCGCACACAGCTGTCACCCTCACAATTATAAACGGATGCGCTCCAAGTAGGGATTTAGGAAAACGCATGCCACGCAAATCACCAGGATTTCAAAATAAAAAGGACCCCGAAATGCCACGTCTGCGTGCCTGCCCCCTGCAGGCCACCCCTGCACCCGCCCCTCGGTGTGGGCTCCGGGGCAGAGGTCGGCGGTCCGGCGGGGGCGGGGCCAAGACGTCGGCGGCGTGTTGACGTCACGGGCGTGGGCCGCCCAGCGCGTCGTCCGGCGCGCAGCGGGGCCGGTGGTGGCAGCTGTGGCTGGCTTCGTTGCGTGAGCCGCGGGGACCACGTCCGCTCCCTCCGCCCTTCGCCCTTCGCCTCATCCCGGCCTCCGCGGCACGACGCCGGCCGTCATGGTGCTGTCGGCGCGCCCTGCGCGGCCCCGCTGAGCCTCGGTGCGGCGGCGAGCGCGGCTTGGGGTCACCATGCCTACCCGTGAGTGGCCGGCCGGGCGCCGGGCCGGGCGGGGGGCGTTGGGAGGCGGCAGCCCGCCAGACCCGCTCTGGCTGGGTCGTCCGGCCGGGGTGGCGGGGGAAGCCGGGCTGGGCTGAGCAGAGCCAGAAAATACTTGGGGGCAGCCGAGTTAGTTTCGTTTTGGCTTAGCCTTCCGGGGGTGGCGTGATCCCGTTGCACAGATGAGGAAACTGAGGCCCGAGCGTTAAGGGAGCCGCTGGGACGCACTGCTGAGTAGTTAGCAGGGCTGGTGGTAACCTAGACCCGTGGGACTTCAAAGTTCAAGCTTTTTACCCAGCCCGCCACACAGTTCAGTGGAACTTTATGGAAGTGCTGAAAATAACCGTGTGGTCCGGTCGTCACTGCCTTCTCATCTCAGGCCAGGCCGTCCCTGTGCTCCCCAACCTCCAAAGTCCCCAGCAGCCTTGACTCTCGCCATCAGCGACACGTCCGTCCGGGGTGGTTGAAGTAGGTGCTGTCTTGGGAATTTGTTAGGCATAGGTGCCTTCAAATGTGGCTCTTGGACCACCTGCTTCAGATTTGCCTGGGCAGATGATTCAAAATGCCGGTTTCAGGCTCCTCCCTAGCCGGGTTGAATGTACAAGATTCCGGAGCTTGGGCCCCAATCTGCCTGTCTAGTTACTGTATTAGGGGTTAACGAGGGACCCTAAAGTTTGAAAATCGCTGGGTATTGGAGGCTTTTAGACATACGCGGTACAATACTACGAATGACCTATTTTAAAATGACCCAAATAATTGCAATGTGACTTTAAACCCAGTGGCCCATATGGATTTGAGCAAACTGGGGAAGCTCCTGATCTTTGATAGAGAGGAAGCATGCAGGTGACTGATGAGATTCTTTTCAAGTAGGGCTTTTTTTTGGTGTTATGTTCCCTATCATAGAATCTTTAAACACTTGTGAATATGATTATTTCTTAGAATTTGTAACTAACTCCTTCTGATTGTCCTTATTTTTGTAGACATGGGGGACACTGAATTTCCAGGTCAGCCTCAAATGCATGTTTGTCTCGTGGTGGGAAAAGAGAAGTTATTTCCTGAGATTAGAAAGATTTATGTAATTCTGTGACAAACGTTTAGATAATCTTCATGTAGAAATTTGACTCTTCATACCTATGTGGGTACTGTGGATGTTTTCTTCTTTACACCATACTGTGTGTCCTTAAAGCATGTTCTTGCACTTTGTAGCCAGTAAATATGTCTGCAGTTTATTTCCATTTTATTCCTTTAGGCTGGAGAAATATCATTTACCACCATCTTCGTTATCATTATTGTCACTTTATTCTAAATTTATATTCATGTTATTAGTGAATGAGGTTAGCACTGTGTTAATCTTTTACTTTCTGAGAAAGCAAAGGGGAAGAGGTAAACACCTATTCTTGAAAGTTGAGGCTTCAAGGGGAATTTGTTGGTAAAATGCCAAAATTAGCATCCTATGAAATTAAACAAATTTTAAGTTATGTTATAGGGTTATATACAGTCTTAGAGACTGGTTTCTTTTCAAATGCTTGATTTACTCTGCAAAATGATTTTAGGACAAGCCGTGGTACAGTTTGTATAGTTAGGAATGCAAATTTCACTCCCTGACCAGACAAGTGACGTATTGTTTTATCTGTCATTGTTAATATTTGTTATGGTACATTTTTTTATGACTGGATAAAAGTATACTATTGATTGGGAGACGATTGTGAAGTGAGTAATGTTCCTATTTGCCTTTTCTCTCCTTTGATAGTCATGGCTGCCAAAATTGCCAGGATAGTGCAGGGGATAGTAGTGCTTCTTAGAAATTATGTTTGTAGAATAAATTTCCAACACAGAGGTTGCAAAATTGTGACTTTCTTTAGAAATGCTTTTAGAAAGAGAATCCTGTTCAAATAAAGTGAGATGTTTTGTTTTGTTTGTTTTTGTTTTTGTTTAATGTTAAATGGTTGAGAGGCTCAGCCAGTTAATCCTTAAGCGTTTTAGTTAACTGTAAAATCAAAGGATTGAAGGCGATCAATATTGTCTCTCAGAATCTAAAATTCTGAAAGCAATCCTTGCCCTAAGTTCTAGAGTTACTTTTCTATTGCTATTTTGTTGCTTATTTAGAATACTGGTACTCAGCCATTGAAACTGTTGATAAGTAGAATCCAGCTGAGTATGGTATGCCACTGCTAAGTAATTGTATATCTCATGAATATTAAAGGCCGTTTCATTAGAGTTTTTTGAGATCCATAGCCTCTTTTTGAGAAAACAACTACCTGGAAGGATGCCTGACAGGAAGCTGTTAGGACTCAGTAACAATTCTGTGGTCATGTCACTCTGTATTCAGCCTGTAGTTTGAAATAGTCTGTAGGCACAGATTTCATGACTGTGTTGCTGAATGATCTTTTCAAACCTACACACCTATAATTTGACACATCATTTTTTTAAAAGCCTTTATTTCATTCTCCAAAGGACTGTTAAGAAGCATTTTGATTTTAAAGATTTTCAAACTCTGAATCAGAATTTGGGTTGGAAGGAATGTTAAACTTCTTAGTCATTTTATTTGCATGTCAGGAGGCTGAGCTTCCTGTGAGTTTCAGTGGAGTAGAATCAGGACTTGAACATAGATCTTGTCACTGTTTAGTCCACAGCTGAACTTTGAAGTGTTGCCCCAGTTCTTGGGCTCCTAGCTTGGAGGAATCGTGAGCCTTGTTCTGTGTCACAGAGAGAGATGACAGACACTCAGCAAGAATAAGTGAAAAATTTATTGTAAGGAATATTTAAGGGTGCAAAGTGAAAGTGCATTTCCTAAGGGGAAATGGATCTATTTCCACAAGGGAAGACACTGCCTACTTCTATGTTTTTATTTTTATATGTTTTATATTTAGGTAAAACTTAATTGTAATTAGGACTGAATTCCTTTCTATGTTTGGATATGACTTAAAGGTTATGTTATATATACTGTGGGGAAAGTTCCATTTCCATTCTCTGAATGGTAGTCCATGGTCCAATTACCCTATTCTTTAAGACTGAAATAACTGTTCCCTCTTTTTATTTTTCTGTAACCATTTCCTCTTTATTGTTTTGCTATAAATGTTTTCTCCTTTTTGTTTTTCTGATTTCTATTACCTCTCACTTGTTTTCTGTCCCTAACAATCTAGCCCCTATGATCAGTAATCACAAAGAGCATAGATGACATTTATTTTTCTCTAACATTAAGTTTATAGTAGTTTAGCCATTTTTTTTTCTTTTTTACTTTTAGTTAGTTACATCAGGACAAACATAAGCTCTGTCAAAATGTAAATAATTCTGTGAGCTTACAAAAAAGTTTCACATATGCCTTTGCTTCTATCTTATCCCAGGAACCTGTGGGAAGGAGGCTGTGGATTCTGGTGTTAGCAGTTGATTATATAGGCACAGACTTTTCAGTAAACTCCTTATATAGAAGGGGCTTCTTGGTTCACAGTTTGCCTCAAAACAGATCCAGTAAAATGTGCTCTTTTATTGTGTATATAAAAGTTATATTTGCTAGAGAAAATCAAAGCTCTCAACCATTGTTTGCTATTAAACTATGCTTTCAGTAGTCATGTGTGGTTAATGCCTTCTTTTCTCATTTAGATAATGACATTGCTCTCTGTGCAGATTTGTTAGGCCATTGTAATGTGGTCACTCAGTGTGTTTTTGTTTTTCCTTTGATGAGGTTAATTTAACTTATTTTTCAATTCATTCTTATGAAGGAAGTGCAGAATGAATTGTGAAGCAAAGGGTGGGTGCCCATTGAAATGCTTTCCTTTTAGAGACATGTTACATGCAAACTTGACCTACACATTCATATTAATGGCTTGTTAGCCTTTTGTGTTCATTCATATTCATTCATTCATATTTGCATTGTTTCTCTGCCCTCTTCCCTATCCTCCTTTTCCTCCTCTCTGAACTCCTCTGTCCTCCCTCAGTCTCTCTTCCTCCCTCTGCCCACCACCTGTGTATCCTCCCAGAGTTGTAGCTGAAAAATTTTCTTTCTCACAGTGACCTTTGGCTTGACATTGCTTTGGTTGCTGTCCAGATCTCATCTTTCAACCTATCCCCATCTGTGGAGACATAGGGCTGCATTAAAGATTATGTATGTCATAGGAGAAGGTTGGGAACCAGAATTTGAAGAGTTTTATATGGCATGCAGTGAAGCAGTTAACTTGCCTGAAAGTGTGTTCAAGCTGTCACAATCAGTTATAGTGGCTGTCTATTTCACAAGCATACTAGCATTTTCCAACTTATTTGATTACTTCATGAAGATTTATAGTTTCCTGGCCGGGCGCAGTGGCTCACACCTGTAATCCTATAACACTCTGGGAGGCCGAGGAGGGTGGATTGCTCGAGATCAGAAGTTCGAAACCAGCCTGAGCAAGAGCGAGACCCTGTCTCTACTATAAATAGAAAGAAATTAATTGGCCAACTAATATATATAGAAAAAATTAGCCGGGCATGGCAGCGTATGCCTGTAGTCCCAGCTACTAGGGAGGCTGAGGCAGAAGGATTGCTTGAGCCCAGGAGTTTGAGGTTGCTGTGAGCTAGGCTGACGCCACAGCACTCACTCTAGCCTGGGCAACAAAGTGAGACTCTGTCTCAAAAAAAAAAAAAAAGATTTATAGTTTCCTATTAGTAACAGGAATTAATTATTGAACGCTGATTGTGTGCCAGGCAGTATACTTTGTGCTTTGTATGAGTTATCTTATTTACAACTCTCCCATTTTGAGGGAAGCCTTATTTGGGCTGTATTGAGGTTCATTAAAGTTAAGTAACATGCCTGATGACAGTAAGTGGTAGAGCTGGCATTGGAACTAGATGGATCTGACTTAAAATTCCCAGTTCTTTTTTCACGCTACACTGCACTGGGCCAGGCAGGAGCTCAGTCAGATCTTACCAGTTTCTTTTAACACTGTCCCTTTCGCTTAGCCCTGTTATGCCCATCTGGTTACATAATAGTTGCTTGGTAAATGTTTAAT